GTCCGCATTGCGCCGCTTCATCCTCCCCCTGTTGATTCTCTATCGGTGTGGTAAACTGGAAGTGGAAATGTCATTCGCTCATCCTCGTGAATCTCCACTTATTCAATTATCCACCATTGTTGTTGTTTTATGCACACATGAAACAAAGAAATAAATAAAAACACTGAACGCTGAGGGCCCTCCCCTTTTCACGACACGGCTGCGTCATCCCCTTTGTTGACGTGGTGCGTCATGACGTCATTGGAAGCCCACAAGGAAGATTGTTTAGATTAGAAATTGGATTTCACAATTTCATTATTTTAGCAAAATATGTCATGCACCAATCTCGCTTTCTCAAAATGTCCCTAGTTTGTATTGCTTTTTTGTCAATTAAATTAAACTATAGAAAACACGTTAAAGAGCCCAATCAATCAAAGTTTATTTATAAAGCCCAACATTACAAATGTTACAGTGGACTCTACAGTTTGTAAGGACTAGGAATACGACACCCTCTGTCCTTGGACCCTCACATCAGACAAGAAAACACCCCAAAAGAAACCCCCCAGTTAATGGGGGAAATGGAAGAAACCTCAGGGAGATCAACAGAGGAGGATCCCTCTCCCGGACGGACAGACGTGCAATAATAATAATAATTCATTTCTTTTATATAGGCGCCTTTCAAGGCTCTCAAGGTCGCCGTACAAACACATAAAAAACAAGATACACAATACATAACACCAGCATAAGAAACATAAACAAGACAATGCAGTATATAAATCAATCAAATAAAAACAATCAATGAAAACTTCAAGTGCATAGAAGTTACAGCTTTTGCATGTAACAGCACTTAGATCCATAAATATGCATTCAAACAGCATGGTCTTCGGCTGCTTTAAGTAACCAGCCGTGCCACTTTGAGCTATTATCAATGTACCTACGACACCTACTGGTGGCACTCTGTGATGCTGTCCTGGGACAACTGTCCAACTTAAACAAAGCTCCAATGGTAAACTCAAAGATACAAGGCTCATTTGTACCAATTAGAATAAGGACAACCGCATACAAATATATAAATGCTCTGAGATATTTATTTACTTGTATTTACTTTTGCACACACAGTTCTACACTGATGAGGATCAGTAATGTGTGTCACTTTTATTATTTCGATTAATGTCGCTGTGAGTATTGTTTTATTCGTCATACAAAGACAAATATCTTGCCCTGGTGGATACAGTCAAATATCATTATATTTAATATGCAACCATAACCCAAATATGTCTTGATATTTGAAAATGACTGTCTTTACGTAACTGCCCAACACACTTTATACGTTATTTAAAAGCATTTTCGTTTAGTTTTTTTTTATGTTGTGTTCGAAAGCTGTTACCGTTCATGGTGTTCGCCGGTCAATTTTGACCCATGATTTATCTCAGTCCAAAACACACAAAAAATGACTATCATCCAATATTGTTTTAACTACATCATAACTAACTTATAATGCATTCATACCCGTACAATCCTGTTGTAATGTAATGTTATGGCCCAAAACACATTACACCACATATTGCACACGTGCATGTGCATGTGTGTGTTCAGGTTCAAGTGTTAGTGTCAGATTCTTTGAGAAAGGTGGAGTTCCTGTGGGGGGAGGGGGGCAGAGGGAGGGGGGAGGGAAGGGAGACCAGGTGCATGTTGCGAAAAAATTATTGCTACAGTGTATGAAGGGGGGGGGGGGGGGGGGGGGCTAAAGTCAAAGATGAATCTTGATTGGGCCAAATTTGACCTCGAGTCACCCAAAACAATTCTGCTGGGTCTCCCCAGACCCCAACACCAAATTACTCTTCTTTTTTAGAGACCTTCAGACTCGGCAAACATTTTCAAAATCTGTTGTGTAGTGTTTATATATCTGTTGTGGAGGATATCATGAAGCCTTGTTCCCATACAAAAAACTAGAGCGTAGTTATTATATCATATTAACTTGAAACGGGTCACGGGAGACCCCAACACAACATAAGGGTTAAGAAGCTTAGAAGATGATATTTATTTTGAATGAATAGGCTGTGTTAAGAAATATATATTATGTACAGCAAAACCTCTGAATCACCTCTTTTTACCGATTAGATTTTTTCTTTTTCAGTTAAAGAATTCATCGTTTCTATTCTTGAGGATGTTTGTGTGCAATTATTCAAGTTGTATAATCACTGGAATATATAGCAGCCTACACGAATGCTGTACATTATATAAGCTTCTTTATTGCCCACCCTTTATACTACAATATCATTACTACTGAGCTGCACCAAAAAGAGGATTTATTTTGAGAAAGAGACTGAAACAGAATACGCTGGCTTAATGAGGTGTAGAAACTACAATTGATTTGTACTTTTATATGGAAATTAGCTATCGGATAACATGTACATTCTTTGTTGTGGTAACGACCTCAAAGCCAACAACCAAACAAACAAAGAATGCAAATCTGATTAAAGGTGATAGTATTTAAAGGATTGTTAATGAATCTTTTTGTATTCCTCAGGCAGTGCTAGACTACACTCTGGATGTGTTCAATACAACAGGGAGCAGCTGCAGAGACTCATGCTTACACTCAAACACAGAATCACACATGGGGTTTGTACTGTCAGTCTATGGACCGGCTATGGAGCAATTCAAATGGTAGAGTGATTTGCTCAATAGCACTGCAACCTATACAGGAGATGTCAGTTTTCAGAGATGAGGCGACATTTCTCAATTTCTGCACCTCCATATTATTACATCGTTTAAAATGTAAAGGTGCCCTGAAGAGAAATCTAAACATAAAATGTTCTGTTTACATTCAATGTTTTCTCTCGCGGATACAAGCGGCCGAGATGGGTTTTCTCCGCAGGGTGGCTGGTGTCTCCCTTAAAGGCCGCTACACACCCACCTGAGACCAAAGAACGCGTACCGAAGGCGTCCCGACTTTTACGTCAGCTTCGTCGCCTGCGTCGGCTGCGTCGGCTACGTCGCCCGCTACGCCGCCCGTCTACGAACACACCGCAAATACTTCAGTCGACGAGTGGCAATAACTGTCCTTACCAGCAGGCAGCGGTAGTGTGAACAGCCAATCAGAGTGATTGCTTGGGCCGACTTTCTCTGACCTCCCGCGGCCGATTCAACATGTTGGATCGTCCGGAGGGAGGTGTGAAAAGGTGCCGTAAAGAGACGACGGTGCGGGACACACCAACCTGAGTAGGGCGCCGCAAATGCCCGACTGCCTCTGACGGCCTCTGACGGCCTCTGACGGTCTCTGACGGCCTCTGACTCCCAAAATCGGGCTGGTGTGTCCGGGCCTTAAGCTGGCTACACACCAACCCGATTTTGGGAGTCAGAGGCCGTCAGAGGCAGTCGGTCATTCACGGCGCCCTACTCAGGTTGGTGTGTCCCGCACCGTCGTCTCTTTACGGCACCTTTTCACACCTCCCGCGGCCAACATGTTGAATCGGCCGCGGGAGGTCAGAGAAAGTCGGCCCAAGCAATCACTCTGATTGGCTGTTCACACTACCGCTGCCTGCTGGTAAGGACAGTTATTGCCACTCGTCGACTGAAGTATTTGCGGTGTGTTCGTAGGCGGGCAGGCGACGTAGCTGACGTAAAAGTCGGGACGCCTTCGGTACGCGTTCTTTGGTCTCAGGTGGGTGTGGAGCGGCCTTTAAGGATAAGGTGAGGAGTTCAGTCATCCAGGAGGGACTCGGAGTTGAACCGCTCTCACCCTCTTTTATATTTATATATACATTGAAATTGTACTCAAGTTCACTACTTAAGTACATATTCTCAACACCCTCTTATATTTTCATAGTGAGCCTTGAATCAAAGAGCTCTTTGAATGAAAGGCAGTTCCATTATCAATTCCACATTCCTTACTGGCTGAACAACATTCCTGAAATACACAAAGCCATTACACTGAAGATGAATTATATCAATCAAAACAAGGCGGTTTTTTTCTTTTATTAAAGTTAGTGTAAATAAAGCAATTCACCAATGACGACCACAATGGTTTGGTGGAATGAACATGAGACATAACACAATTGATTAGATCAGACAGGAAGAGGAATGCCCCACAACACTTCCTGTAAACCATGTGTAGATTTGTCTCACAGTAGGAAACCCCATACTAGGACTTCCGGACTCTGCAGGTTTGGCAGCGACCGGGTCATGCTGCTGGCATCGTGAGACGTCCTGAAATGAGTTTACTTTTCTGAGAAAGCTATGAGTATAGAAAGGCTTCATCGCTGCTTTCCCGTAACACAGGACTTTGAGACAGTATGCACATGAAGTGAAAACAGGCCTTGAAGAAAATATCCGGGCACAGGGAATGCTCTTTATACAGAAAGCTGCTTTCGTCCATGCTGGATTCACACTTTACATTATCACATTGTAACAAACAAACGTACATGACATATTCCTGTAGTAAAGTAAAACAAGTATAATCTTAGAATATATACTTTTTTTTAATACATTTAAGACAGGCACAAAGGCAATCAGATGAAGTTGTTGATTTATTTCATTTCATTTCATTTCATTTTTATTTGTTCCGCTCATGGTACGCAAAACCCAATGTACAACAATTGCCAACAAAACATGTCTCAAACACACCATTGAGCGAAAAGGAATATATAAATATAAATAGATGGTCTGCCCTTCATAATAAAAACATTTTTTCACAGCCAAACATAACAGTATCTTAAGAGAAACACAAAAAATACTTATTTCCCACAAAAAACAACCATTTATGAAGTGAGAGTTAGAGTTAGTTACTCTTCTTTCCACTCTATTTCAAAGGCAACAGAAAGTGAACAGCAGTTTCACTGAAGAGAGGATAGTTGTGTAGTGATTCATGAATTCAGTGCCCAGGAATTATAATTCCTCATGTTAACCCTTGAAGAGTGGGATCTTTGCAAACAACTTCTCACTAGGTGAGTTGATCAAGATCACAAAACAATTGTTAGTGTTTGAGTTTACCATTAGTGATCATTGGGTTTTGAGTTGTTATCGTGTTATTAAGTATAATCACTGTTATACTTACACACTTGTCACTTGTGGACTGAAGTGAGACCATGAGGTACTACAGTCTTTCTTATGAGCTTAATCAGAAAAAAATAAAGCTCAAAATCATATCTCATGCCATTAAGGGGTTAATGTCATGCCGTTAAGGGGTTAATGTCATGCCGTTAAGGGGTTAATGTCATGCCATTAAGGGGTTAATGTCATGCCGTTAAGGGGTTAATGTCATGTCGTTAAGGGGTTAATGTCATGCCATTAAGGGGTTAATGTCATGCCGTTAAGGGGTTAATGTCATGTCGTTAAGGGGTTAATGTCATGTCGTTAAGGGGTTAATGTCATGCCGTTAAGGGGTTAATGTCATGTCGTTAAGGGGTTAATGTCAGGCATGAAGAGCAGATATGTGGAGTATGAGCCAGAGGAGGAGGAGTTCCAATGCATCATTTATAAAGAAGTAGAAACTCAACAACTGGTAAACAACGTTCAGCTCGTCCAAAGACAGACAGCAGAGCAGAGCTTGCAAGAAGGTGAAGTATAATCATTTTCTGAGCATTCATTGCTATCAACAGTGAGCATTCATTGCTATCAACAGTGAGCATTCATTGCTATCAACAGTGAGCATTCATTGCTATCAACAGTGAGCATTGCACCTGTTGCTCTTTAAATGGCTCAGTTCAACTTGGGAGTCAAAACAAAGGGTGTTTCTTAACTTGTCTCTTCTCCATTAGCGATGGCCACGGCCAGCACATTGCTTACTGAGGATCAGTTCCAGTGCTCCATCTGTCTGGATGTTTTCACCCAGCCTGTCTCTATTCCATGTGGACACAACTTCTGCAAGGCCTGTCTCACCAGGCACTGGGAGGGCAAAGATCTGTGCAAGTGTCCACTGTGCAACGAGAAGTTCACCAAAGATCTCAAACTTCGGGTCAACACTGGATTCAGGGAGGTGGTGGAAAATATCAAGAAACTTCAAGCAAAAGCTGACAATGCTAACCCTGTGAAGCCAGGAGAGGTGCCATGTGACTGCTGCCCTGATGACAACCAGTCAAAAGCCTCTCAAACCTGTTTGGTTTGCTTAACATCTTTCTGTGAGACACACCTCGAGCCTCATCTAAGAGTTGCAGCTTTAAAGAGGCACACACTGACTCGTCCTGTGCAGAACCTGGAGGACCAAGTATGCAAGAAACACAACAGGATGCTTGAGCGCTTCTGCAGGAATGACCAGACATGTGTCCTGTGTACAGAACACAGCGCTCACGATACAGTCCCTTTGGAGGAAGCATATGTAGACAAGAGGGCTCAGATAGGGAGGAAGAAGAAGGCGGAAGTGCAGGAAATGAAGCATAAGCGTGGAAAGAGAGCTCAGAAGAACAAGAACAAGCGTCAAGGCAAAGCTGAGGCTATGGATGTGATACATCAGACACAAGATCCTCAGGCTTGGTGGATTCAAGACCACCAAGTCAACAGTTTTGGCAGAGTTGGGGTCCTTCCTGAATGGAGATGCTACCGTGAGGTTCAGGCTGAAGGGGGCTCCAGCGAGGACCCAGCGGTGGAGGGAGAGTCGATGCAAGGGGTAAAGGTGTTCACACCTAACCCCAAGGATGGAAACTGGGTCGTAAGGGCGGGGTCTCTGAAAAACGTTACGACTCTACAGCGAGTGCCAGTCCAAGTCTTCTGGATAACGACACATGGGAAAGTTGAGGTGTTTGTGGACTATGACCAAGGATCGGTGACCCTCTACGGGGTCGGGATGGTGAGCACCACTTTTTGTATCAGCGATTTTCATGAGAGGATTTATCTTTTCTGCAGTCATACATCAGGTGAGAGCTGGGTACAGAGGCTGCGACAGCAGGTTGAGAGGATAACAGAATGTTTACAAAGTCCAGAGAACAAGTTCGGCCTTCGTTGTATTTTATTTATTTTTGTATTTATTTATTTATTTGTATTTGTAGCTGTTTTTTGATTCTGTGTGTGTAAACCAATATTTAAATCATGACATTGGATTCAAAATGTGTTCCTGCTACAGTGGTATGAAGGGTTACAACAAGCATCTCCCTCCAGTGACAAACTCATCTTTCACATATTCAAAGGTAAACATTTTTGATAACGGTTCGTATTCAGTGATTTTGTAAATGAAAATGAAGTTTTAATAAAATATTTGTCATGCTTGTTTCTTCATTTAATGTTAAATTGTCAGTTTTTAAAATACACAAAGTTTACGTAAAAATACACTGGTAGCGTCACTTGAAATAAAAAACAACACAATAAACGAACATGTAAAGCTTTTCAATATCAGTGCTTACTCTGTCTAAAGTGTGTGTTGTGTAGTGATGATGGTGATGACTTTATTCATGTGCACCACTAGAGGGAGCATTCTACTTATTCTTCATACAAACTCACCCCATTTAATGAACCCATAAGGACCCACCGTGACACGGGACGGGTGTCACATGACATGAACTTTAAATGTTCTGGAAAGTTCCTTATACCGCTTTAGCCTTTATTTTATCTCATGAAGTCCCTAAGGGACACACCCTGAACAGTCTGCTGGGTCATGGGCCAGGTCATGTGATTTTCTGTTCCCATGACAACGTGTCCAAGATGTCCATGTGCCAGACTAACACATGTGACAGAACGAGCTACATTTCAAAAGCTTTTTGTTGTTGTTGCTAAAGGTAAAATTCAAGCCATTTAAGAATTGAAATGCTTACATAACATGTCCTTTATTACATTTAACCTGTTGTGGAAACATTTCTTGATCAAATTGATATGAAACAAATGAGACAAACATCGCTGTGACACTGATGTCACATCGGGACTTTAACCCTAAACGTTCACAGTAAACCCAAAGTGACATATAGGCCTATGCACAATTAGAAATATTATTATGATCTGCTCAGTCAAATTAGCTGATTCAATTATATTGAGTTAATATATTCTTTATTCTTCAATTCAAAGAATGTTCAAACTAATTTAAACCAAAAAATCATCCTCGTTAATGAAGTTATATATAAGCAGGGCCGGCCGAACTATGGGCGCTGTAAGTGATGAAAGTGGGGGATGTTGATTTATCTGGCGCACGCAGCTCACAGCCAAAGTGCGAGCGGACCCCCGTAGAGGATGTGACGTACACCCCCCAATTAAAACATGTTCATACAATACTGAATACATTTGAAACCTTCGTTATGTATATAACCAACATATTAATGCGTGTAGAGATTTTTCATTTATTCTTTATACAGTATATTCTTATTTATATATCCAAATCATAATCTCGCCTAGGGCACCAACATGTCTAGGCCCGGCCCTATAAGAGTTATTTTACCATTAAAGCCCAAAGCCCACATTTCAGATATTTGACACTAGGGGGGGTTCTTGTCAGAAATGTGTTCTAGGTGGTCTATTTAGTCTTTTTCAGTCTTTTCTTAAGAACTCTTGTGTTCATATCTTATTGCTTCTTATTCAGTTAGTTGGAGCATTTTGAGACTAAAATCAAAACAGGGAAACTGCACCATAATTACAAAGTGGTCTGTCTGTATGCTTAATGTATAATATAGATAGTCCAAATATTGGAAAATGCATCGTGAATCCAGGTGGATGTGAACAACCCTCTGGGTGCCATCAAAGAAGTAATAAGGTGAGCATTAGGCCGGAACACAGCGACACGCACAGCCACGATTTGTATTTCTTTAAATAATAATAATACAAATAATACAATAAAATAAAAATGATAATGAAATAAAATAATAATATAATTCATAATATCATCAAACGTTTTTTTTTACTAAAACTAAAAAAATAAAGTGATGAAAATAAGATTTAATTCATTACTTTTTAAAAACCTTTTGATAAAAAACTTGAAAAAAAGAAAGAATTAAAGAGAAATTGCAACAAAATAAATTCAAATAACAGTTACAATCTTTTTTTTTTAAATGGGGACCAAGATTTCTGTTTGCTGAAAGAATCACACACAGGTACAGGACTTTCTATGTTTCAATTTCCTTTATTATCTCTGTGAGTTTTCAAGTGTTTAGACACTGTGTGTCCTTGCCAGCCTCAAGTGATCCAGGGTTAGGGTTACTTTAACCCATATAGCCGGTTCAAATCCCAAGCTTGTCGGAAACTTTGACTATGATCCCTTTTCAACTTTACACCTCTCTGATAAAAGGCCCTTTCAGGCCCAAAAAATACCCTAATAAAAAAACCATAGCAATGTACCTCAATACAAATCTTTGTGTGTTCCCCATCCCACATAATCACCCCCTGCCATAATTACACAAGCCCAACGTGTTTTCCAGTAATCTCTCCTCAATAACCCAATACAAACCTTTATCAATCTTTAAATGTACATAGAACATGTTATTCAGTCTGTGTGTGTGTGTGTGTGTGTGTGTGTATGTGTGTGTGTGTGTGTGTGTGTGTGTGTGTGTGTGTGTGTGTGTGTGTGTGTGTGTGTGTGTGCGTGCGTGTGTGTGCGTGCGTGTGTGTATGTGCATGCGCGCGTGCATTTGTGTGTGTGTGTGTGTGTGTGTGTGTGTGTGTGTGTGTGTGTGTGTGTGTGTGTGTGTGTGTGTGTGTGTGTGTGTGCATCAAATCGTTTTTTGAATCCACTGCAGCCTTGCACTTCGCCAGGAGAGGTCACTGTAACAGAAGCTTTGAGGAATGAACCCATTTTCGAAACAGTTGTCTCAAATGTTTCAGTGCTTCACAAAAGCTTAATTTCCTCATCTCTAGGATCCATCCTTAACATGTAAACTACTCATTCTGGTACCCTCTGACAAGGAAATAAAACAAAAATACAACACTTAATTCAGGCAAGCAGGCCAAACAACATTGCTGCAAGCATGTTATATAATCAGTAGAGTCAGGAGGAATTATTTAAATTGGACATGTTCTATTAAAAGTGTACTAACATGTCCAAATTGCACATCTTGACATCTTGTTTATTACATTTCTTTGTGAACGCTATTTTTCAGAACATTTATAAGTTATACTCTTAAAAAGTGGTGGGGACAAAATTGGCCATTTCAATAAGTGCTGGGGACATGTCCAGCGTCTCCAGTGCAAATGACGCCTATGGTGCTGAGCTTCAGATAGATATGATCTTTCTTTATATTTATTCAGAGCTGTTCTCTTTGAACATTTAGTAGTTTCTAGTATTTCATTTGGGCCTTTAGTCGGGACATGTTTGCCCTTTTAGATCAGTGTATGTACAAATCTAAGGTTTGAACTTATTATTCAAACATCCTTTTTGCTGCTGGTCCTAACTTACCGATCTATTCTCGTGCAGAAACCTATTTGACAATGTATTAATACGTGTGGAAAAGAATTATATACATTTCTCAACATTTTTGATGACCCTTGAACCACGCCCAGTGCTTGCACCCAGCTGATTGTTCAGTAAACATAAAACTATCTTGCAGATTTCAAACTATAGCATTTAAAAAAACTTCACTAGGAAACACCCGTTCTGGCAGGGACTCTCAACACGTTTTAAATGCCACACAACATTTAATCCTTCACTCCACACGTTGTCTACAACTATCCAATGACGATTGGATAGCAGTTGTGGGTTGAACCACACATTGTAAACTGCAGCAGTAATAAAACTCAGTCCTGATCATGCAAAGTACTGTAGGAAACGTCTCCTCTCCAGTTTACGCACACGTACCTCCCTGTACACATGCTGTGGAACCTGTGGAGCGCGTAACGTGTAACTTGCCTTCTTCGATTGAAACAACTGTGTGTTACGACAATTTTGAGTAATGGCAGGTAAGAGGTCACGGTCTAAATTAACTTTAAAAGTAACTTTGGTGCATTTTCCGGGAATATGGAGGCGATCGCAGGCGTCCTGCCTGGCTCTCGTCATGCTGCTTCCCTGATGGCTCCCTTAGGATTGTTGTTGACATCCTCGTGGATTCATCTTCTTATTATAGACACATGCATTTCCAAACATTCGGTCTACCTACGCTGTAAAATGTATTATCTCTTCGATTCACACACGGTGTAGGTACCATATATCATACATGCCAACCTTTCCAAATCCAAAAGAGGTAGGTTTGCGCATGGCAAATGTGCACGCCCAAATGAGGTAATCAGAAGAAATGGAACCAGTAATTACATAAACCATGTATTTAACATATATTGCATCATTTTATGCATTTTTCAGAAAAAGTGGTAGTTTGGTAAACAGCGACATCAACGACATGTTTGGTCTGTAAAATGCCCGAAAAGTAAAAGAATGGGAGATAAATATCCCAAAGTCTCCACATTTTATTATATTTTTAATGTGTTTCTGGTCCTCTTTCAGTTGCTTTGTTGGAGAAGCCTGTGACATAAGATTTTCAACGACATAATTACTCAGTAGCTATGTTAGTTTGACAATAAAGAACCTTGAACCTTGAACCTTGACAGTGTAGATCAGGGGTGCCCAACCTTTTTTGAACCGAGAGCTACTTTTAAAGTGTCCAGTCTGCCGAGATCTACCAGTCCAAATAGAGAGGCGTAGCCATTAGTGACAGCCTACTACCAGGTAAATACACACTTGTATAAAACTGACTTTGTACGATTAATACTTCATAAAATACTGCAGATCCTTTATCTTACCTCTTTCTAATCTACACACAAGTATTTAACTGAAGTTACACAACAGTGTTGTTGATACAGAGTTGGAGTTTATTCACACGTCACATTGAACAGTGCTGCCACATATGACACAGGAGAAAAAGAAAAGACTCTGAACCCTTTCTTTGCCATTATATAAAAATAGTGTTGCTACAAAAGTATAAATTAGTTTGACTAATAAGACAACTCAGATCTGAAGCTACACAGGAATCTGCTGCCAAAGTGCAATAAAAAAGACAAAATTAATAGAATCAAACCCTTTTCTTTTTTTTGCATTTTAGTAGAGTATAAAAAGAAATGCCTTTAAAATAGGATGCGAGCAACACTAGTTTCTTAACCTGAATTGATAATAGACTTTAATCAATTTAAACAGAACAGAACTTAATGTTTGCATTCTTATACCATTTTGTACAATAATTATAATGAATAAGTTCAAACAAACTCAAACGTACAGCTGATTAATAACGGTATCTAACTTGAGTTTTTATTACATCAAAAACCTGTTGACATGCTACTGTTATTTTTACTGTCCCCAAAAAGCGCGTCGGCAGCCT